AATAATAATAATAATAATCAATAATGATAATGATAATGAATATCAATAATAACAACAACAGCAACAATGATGTTAATAATAATGATGGTAATGTCCGAAAAGGTAGTGAAAATGATGCTTATGATAACAATAATTCTAATTGTGATAATATTAATAATGATAATGTTAATAATACTAATGATAATGTTAATAATAACAATAATGATAATGATGATGATGATAATAATAATATCAATAATCTATAATGTTGACAATAATAATAATAATATACAAAGAACAACAATAATGATAATGTTAATGATAATAATAATAACAATGATATTAATAATGATGGTGATTATGACAACAACAGCAATTATAATGATAATAATTACAATGATGATAATGATAGCGATAATGATAATGACAATGACTAATAATATCATTATAATTATCATCATTATCATAACTTACAGCAATAATGATGATAGCGACTGCAGTAGTGATGATAATAAGAAGAATAGCATTAACAATCAGTATCTATAATAACCATCATGATAACAATGCTGTTGACGATGACTATGTCGATGATGATAACAATAACGGTGATTATAAAGTTCATAATCATAATGATGACAACAACAGTATTGATGATCAAGAATAACAGTAAATTCAGGTAATATATTATTCTTCAGCTGCTTTGAGTGCAGGTGAAGGATGTTGCCATGGAAACGTTGTTAACGATAATGCAGGTAAGTCAATTTTATACTTGTTTTCCTCTTCTTTCTTTTTTCTCCCTCTGTCTATCTCTCTTTCTCTTTCGCTTTCTTTTTTTCTCTCTCTCTCTTCCTTCCTCCTCTCTTTTTCATTCTCTCTTTGTCTCCTTCCCCTCGTCTCTCCTTCTCTCCTTCTTCTCCCTCCCTCCCCCCCCGCCCTCTCTCTCTCTCTCTCTCTCTCTCTCTCTCTCTCTCTCTCTCTCTCTCTCTCTCTCTCTCTCTCTCTCTCTTCTCTCTCTCTCTCTCTCTCCGCTCCCGCTCTCTTATATATATATATATATATATAATATATATATATATATATAATATATATATATATAATATATATGTATATATATATATGCACACACACACACCACACACACACACACACACACACACACACACACACACACACACAATCACACACACACACACACACACACATATATATAATGTTATTTTTTGTTAACATCAATCCTAATAAGAATTATAGCACTACCTAAACAACAAAAAAACGTTTATAATTTCAATTGGTCCTGCTTTTGGTGCCTTTCTGTTGGGCCAAATAAATCTCGGAGGATTTTCGATTCTTTTCAAGCCACTATTGAAGACCACTGGCTTGACGACGAATGACACCAGAGCGCAAAAATAACCAAAACGCTAGCTACTTGTCTTGTGGATTCCGATACGTTTTCAGACTATCTTTGCAACTACTATGGAAGACCTAATAATCCATGTTGATACAGTTACAAAGTATGACTGCAGTAATGACAGTAACTCACTGTTTCCTTTGGTAGCTTTGTCAAGTTAGATTAGAGTTCCCATACTGTTGTCGTCACTTTAAGTACACACTTTAAGAACACTAATTTTATCCACATATTTCTGAGTTCTTTTCTCTTTCATTGTCTCTGCCTTCGTTGGAGTACGTTCGCTGTATTTCGCAGAGTTCATTGTCGGCGGCCGCACAGCACAGGGCCTCAGTGTTGGCCAATAACTGTCACGGAGAACGCCTTCCCTCACTCCGACCGCGGTGGATTCTCGGGGGACCTTGAGCTATTCGAACGGTGTCCCGAGCAACCTTGGTTCCGGCGAAGGACAGCTGGACCTTCGGGCTGACGTCGGAGGATTCAAGGTTGCTGGGGAATGTATGTGGTTCTCTTGGCATCTGAGAGAAACACAGTGCTATTCTGTCGCCGGGAAAAGGGAAGGCGGTCGTAGGTGTTCGCGGGTGAAGGGAAGGGGCGTTATGATCCCAAGGAGCACGCATGCGCACGTCCTCGCGGCACTCTGTCATGGCAACGCCGACTGCGCCAAAAAACTTGCTCCTCTGCCTCCCCGAAGGCCGTATCCGCTGGCCGGACGTTGCTCTCGCCTTGTCCTGGGGATCTTTTCTTATCTAAACCTCAGCAGAGAGGGAAGTCCTTCCTCTCCTTCCGGAAAGGACCTCGCAGATCGCACGGCCGCCTTGGAAGCATGGAGGGGCAAAAGAGGAGCAGAGAAGAAAGTGAAGACGTCGAGCGAAGGATCGAGGGAGCACGGGGATGACACTAGCCCCTCTCTCCCCACCAAACACATGTACCGTCTGATCCTTAGTGAACTTTTTTTTCGCCCGATCAAAAAGTCGACGTGAACAAGGACGGGTGTATATAAGCTCCAACCTGAGTCAGGTGGATAGTTAGTTGGATCGGATCCTAGCCAAGGAAACATCGCGCTCCTTCCACCCTTTACTCTCAGATTTCACAGGCAATATCTCCAAAGGTAAACAAACGGAAAACGTTCGTTGAACTGAATGGGTTCAATGAGGACGATCAATTTCGTCTGGAACAACAAACGTTAAAATTATCTTTCAAATTATGTGCACTTTAATTGAAATATAAAAGAAAGAAAAACTAATAAATAAATTAGTATATCTAACGACGCCTCAAAAGTCACAAATTTTCGTTACTTGACAGATGCATCGACTGACTCTCTTCGCTGTGTGCCTCTTGGTCGCCGCCTCAGTGCTTCTGCCGCGGCGGAGGCGAGGCCGCAGATTCACTCATACGACGTCGCCGAAGTCAATGCCGAAGTCTTCGAGGAACAGGACGAGGTGGAGGAGTCCGAACGCGGAGGAAATTACGTCGAGTGAGTCATGATATTATTAATATCATAATTATGTTTTTCGTGTCGGGTTTCTCTTGCAAACTGAATTTTGTTGGATAGTCTGGTACATTACGGCTGTTGCAAGAATACCAATGCAATGATATGATGATACGGGAAATAACGAGGAAATTTCTACAGGATCCAGGAGAGCGTGGTGGAGGACGGCGCGTCCCCACACGGGCGCCGCCGGGAGCATCGCCCTCGAAGTCCTCGACGAAGTTGGAGACGCCCTCGC